AGGAAGATCACTGGCAACTGTTCGAAGGATAGATTAGAGGAGAGATATGAAGGGGAAGGGGTCCATAGTAATAGCTCAGGCAAGAGGTGACAAATTATTCCTTTAAGGTAGTGGCTGAGCCCTGAATTGGGGGAAAGATGTGAGACACTGTCAAAGTAGAATTGAAAAGATTAGGGAAATGATTTAGATATGTAGGGTTAAAGAGTGAGGCATCAAGAATGACTAGAAAGACAGTATAACCTTTTAAAAGAAATAAGGATGTTCAGAAGAACGTTGCTTTGGGAGAAAAAGATAAGTTCTATTTTGGACATGTGTTTGAGATAACCAGGGGACAGCCAATTCAAAATGCCCAATAAGTAGTTGCTGATGTGGGGCTGGCACTCCAGAGAGACTGGAGCTGGATGATATGATCTGAGAGTCAGCTATACAGAGTAAGTGAAACTCGTGGGAGGTAACGAGGCCATCTGGTAAGATTACACCGAGGGAAGTGGCCTCAATTAGATTTGGTGTTGCAGTGGATAAAGCACCGGCCCTGAAGTCAGGAGAACCTGAGTTCAAATCAGATCAAACACTTGATGCTAGCTGTGTGACCCTGGGCAAGTCACTTAACCCCAACTGCCAAAAAAAAAATGTACTCATTAGATTTGGAACCAACACAGTGAGTGAGTTACAGACGTGAAGGCAGAGAAGAAGCCATGGCAGATGGAACTAGAAAAGGGCAGTAACATGAAAACTTGGAGAGGAGAAAAGTAGTCGATAGTGACATGCTACTGTAAGGTCAAGAATAAGGATTAGGAAAAGACCATGAAATTTGTCAAACAAGAGATTGCTAACTTTGAAGAGAGCAATTTCAGCTGAGTTGACCAGTCAGGGTTGAAAAGTGAGGGACAGGGAGAGGAAGCAGAGGAAAAATGTAGACCACTTTAACTTAGGCGTTTTATTTGAGTATGGAAGGAAAGATTTAGGACCATAGTTTGAAGGCCTAGTGAAGGGTTTGGTGTTTGTTTTTTAGTTTAAGGACTGGAAGACTAGAGTAGGTAGGGAAAGATTGTGGGGAAAATATGCTGTAAAAGATTGGGATGGGAGCAAGGATGTGAAGAGTTGGCAAGTAGCAAGGTGATGCTTCATTAAAACTGGAGAAAAGGAGAAGAGAGTAGGAGATGATGTCAAAAGGCATTGACAGAAACATACTGGGAGAGGGAACTTACAGTGAATGGTAGGAGGCAAGGTCTATAGCTGAGAGCATAAGAAACGTAAGAAGATTGTAAAATAACCTTTGCGGACAATGGGATAGAGAAAGTTTTTCAACTACGGATACGGGAAGATATCATAGGGAAAAAAACCCCAAGGAATAGAGAGGATCACAGATGATAAAATGAACAGCTTGGCTTTTATAAAATTAATGTTTCATTTCTTTCCATAAATAAAACTCATGAAGGTAAAATTTGGAAGGGAAAACATTGATGGGGGGGGGGAATCTTTGCACCAAGTTTCTCTGAAAGTTCTTGTTTCCAGGATCCATAATGAACGGATCCAAATTTATAAAACAGCCATTTCCCCAATACATAAATGATCAAGGTGCACGAATAAGCAGTTCTCAACTCTCAATCAACCAGCCACGTTAAATTTTTTTTAAATGCAAATTAAAGCAATTCTTAAGTTCATCTCCCCCCTCCCTTTTCCCCAGATTGGCAAAGATGAAAAGGAAAAAAAACACGTTGAAGGAGCTGCAGGAAAAACAGGGACTCGAAGTACACTGGTCCAGTCTTTCTAGAAAACAATTTAGCACTATATACCTGAAATATTACCAAACTGTATATTCTTTGACCCAGAAACGCCACTACTAGGCCTAGACCTCAAAAGAATTGGAGGGAGGAAAAGAAAATATATATGGGGGGAAAAAAAAGGAAAACAAACCCTGGGAACCAAGGGTTATTTCTTAGGGAGGTGGGGACCTTGGGCAGGACAGCTGAGCAAATCCTGGTGTATGAATAGAATTGTAACACATGAAGTGATTTTTTAAAAATGAGGGATATACATACAGTAAAGACTGAAATTTATTCTCCAACCTCAATACATACAATAAAGAACTCTAATTTTGTGCTTCATTTACATTAGAAGTAAAAAAAAGTAACAGTGAATGAAATAGATTTAAAGTAGGTACTGTGATGAGGCAATTGCAGGAAAAAAAAAAAGGTCTACCCACAAAGAGATGGAAGGAAGTGTCTAAACAAGGGCCAAGTAAATTGTTACCCAGCACTTACAAACCTAAAGAAAAGCCCTCAGGACTCTTTCCATGATCCAGTTGTTTTTTTTTTTTAATGCTGCCTTTTCAGAGAAACCTAGGAATGGTTATGTGGAGTGGAAACAGAATGATGAATGCAGTTTTTTTTTAAAAATTGTAAAAACAAGCCACTGTTCAGGCCTTTACAACTCTGACCATGGCCCTAAATGCCCCATGAGTCCAGAGGCCCCATGGTGAAAAGTCCATCAACCAGCATTTATTAAGTGCCTACTATGAACAGACCAGGCACCATGCTAAGTATCTGCAATACAAAGAAATGCAAAAAGACAGTCCCTTCCCTCAAGGAGCTTGCAGTCTAACAGGAGAGAGAAAATAAGAACTACATACAAACAAGATAAAAAAAAAGTTGGGGGTAGTCTTAGAAGGAAAACACCAGCAAGAATTCTTAGTAAGATTTTTAGCTCCAAATGGAAAGAAGTCAGGAAGTAGAAGGAAGGAGAGAATTCCAGCTACAGGGATGCAACAGCCTGAAAAAGCCTGGAGTCGGAGATGGAGTGTCACATTCAAAGAACAACTAGGAAGCTGGTGTCTCATGGATCACTGAATACATGGAAGGGAGTAAAGTGTAAGAAGACTGGAAAGGTAGAAGTTATGAAAGACTCTGAATGCCAAAGAATGGATTTTACATTTGATTCTGGATGTGATTGGGAGCCACTGAAGTTGATTGGGATGGGGATGACGTGGGCAGACCTGTGCTTTAGGAAAATCACACTGTCAGCTGAGAATAGAGTGGAGGAGAGACCTGAGGCAGGGAGACAAAAAAACCCTATTTTCCAAAACAAACAAAAAAAAACTGAGTGAGACTGGTGGCATTGCTTCACATATTTTTGCAAATCTCTTTAATGCCTGTTTTCATAGACAACAAGCTGATTCTCATATCTGCTTATGTATTCACCTTAAATGCATGTGATTTTTTTTTGGTTGAAGTGCATGAAGAAAACATGGTCTCAAACAGATTGAAAGAAAGGATCATTTTAGGCAAATATTGTTATGAAAATAGTTTTGACCTCATGAACTCCCTTAAAGGATCTTGGAGACCCCCAGGGATCCTTAGACCTCTCCACTTCAAGAACTACTGCTCTAGGTTATCCGTTTCTTGTTTTGTCAATTAGGGGGTTTTGGTTTTTGTAAATAACCCTCCATTTGTTGTACATTCTCAGATGTACTTGCATACAATTGTATTGCATGCAAATTGTATGCAATACCTGGACAGTTCAAAAGATCTGTACCGTCATCCTTATGGGCACTCATTCCACTCTAACATACTGCAACCCATCCATGCCTTGTCTTCGCCCTAAGATTCACATCTAAATACTGCTATAAGTCTTAGGGAAAGGAGCAATCCTTGCCCTCCTCCCCTGGACCTCCCTCCACTTCTCTCATCACTGGGCTGTACGTTTGTTATCCTTTCCTATCCGTAGCTCCTGTACTTTAAAAAAAAAATAAGTTTCATGCACATTTTTTAAGGCGCCATCCCTTTCCATTGTTTCCTCCCACTCATTGGTCCCAATTCTCCCCTACCGTTTGAACTGAACAAATTTAATTCCTCTTCCACAGGACAACCTTTCAAATACTTGGAAACAGTGATCACTGAGAGAATTTGAATGTAAATTCCTTGAGGACTGGATCTTTCTTTTTTGTCTTTGTATATCCAAGGCCTAGCACTGAACTGTCAACATTCTGACAGGTAGTCTGAGGTAGTCAGTAGACAGAGAGGAAGGGGTGGGGCATTCACCGCATGTGATCTCATCAGTTTGACAACTAACCTTACCCTTCGGAACCATCTTCCCTACATTCTGGACTTAAAACATGGTGGAAATCCTGCAGGACCTTTCCTCAGCATCTGGGGCCTCCTCACTCTGGATCATCTTCCACCCAATATCCATACCTACTAGCCTGCTCACCATGGAATATTCCCTCTCCACCCACACCAGGGCCCTGCTGTATTCTCTCATAGGTAAATTCCTCTGGGAGCCTCTATTTTGTAAAGGAGACCAGGTCTACCTACCTCCATTTCCCAGTCCTCATTTTTCAGGTCCTTTGTTTGTGTTGTGTTCCTGCACCTAGCACAGGGCCTGGTTTAATAAATGCTTATTTCCTTCCCTGTCAATATGCCACTCCTCTGCAGTCGGTAGTTTGGTTTTTTGTTGGTTTTAATTTTTTTTTTTAAGGCTCTGGAGGAGAAAGTGAGGCTGGTGACTTCACACAGCCCTCCCTCACTTAACTCCAATTCACTTGCATGTCATGGCATCACCTCCCTGATGTCATTGAGGTCTTCTTCTAGAACAAAGCACAAACAGCAGCATCAGCAATTGCCTAGGGTACTGATAGGTGTCCAGCGAAGCCATGCATCAGAGGCGAAACCAGCCTCCAAAGCTAGCTCTCCATCCATTCCACTACCTGCCAGTTTCTGCCTTTCACACAACAGGCCTTTAAACAATAGTGTGTTGAATTGCAATGAGGTCAAATCTCATCAGTATGTTCAAAGAGGAGATTCCTTTGGCAATCCAGCATTCCTAAGAAGCCCTAAGTAAATGCTCTTGAACAGTGATAAAAATAAGAATGTAAAGTTCTGGACCCAGCTCTCTACTGTCAATATTTAAGTACCAAGGGGTGGAGGGAGCAACTAAAAGTTCCCAACTATTTACAGGCGAACGCAGACTCTTGGGTTAAAACCCTGCGGCCTCAGGGAAGGTTTCGAGTGGACCCGCCAGCCTCCAAGGGTCCAAAAGCCGCCGTCACTCCCAAGCGTCCTAAAGCCCTCTCGGAGGAGGGACTACAGCCCAGGTGGCTTAGGACGCCAGCAAAGGCGGGCAGGGCTGACTGAGCTGGTGCCCCAGGGCTGGGGAGGGAGAGCCGGGGCGGAGTCACGCGAGGACGGGAGTCGGCACCATGGAACCTCCCGGGGTAGTGCTGGTAATGGGAGTGAGCGGCTCGGGAAAGTAGGTATTTAGGCTGGGGTCGCGCGCGTGCCCACGACAGGGCGGGAGGAAGCGAGAGGGCGGGGATGAGTCTGCAGCAGGTGCTTAGTGGACCCTGAAAGTAAAGGAGGGGAGCGGAGCTGCCGGGTCCGGCGGCCGAGGGAGCAGAGCCTGCAGGGCCGTGCAGCTGGGTCTCCGCAGCTCACCCGCTGACTTTAGCAGCTGCGTGAGCGAGCTGCAAGGGGTCACGTCGGGAAGCCTCGCCCCGCACGCCCAGGGAAGCCGCGGGGCCCCGGAACCAGGTTCTCGCTCCGCCCAGGCCAAGGCCCACGCAATGTCACGTCATGCGTGGCCGCCCCATTCATGAATCGGCTTCGCCGACTGCACCGCTTTGGCACGCTTTGGACTTGTAAAGAGTCCAAAAGGTTAAGAGCAACAATTTTCCCCTGCCCTCTCCCCCCACCCAATCTAGAAACCTCGCTGACCCACTATAAGCAGTCCTAGGTGACCCACATTAGGCCACTAAAGACTCTTAAGAGTGAAGAGCAGCCCCCCCCAACCCCAGCACACCCACCCACGTGCTGAGTGAGCCGCATTTTAAAAACAGTTTGGCACCCTAAAGAGATGACTTGGCTCTTTCCCCACCTTCTGCTAGTCTTGTCCCGCACCCGCCCCCACCCCTGCCCCATCAGCTAATGTTTAACAACTCTAAGGCAGACTTTTAAAAGGCCTAGTAGCCGGAAAGGATGGCTCTGAGGGAGTGAATTAGAATTGTTTAGGCTGTAATTTAAGTACAATTTTAAGAGAAAAACTGCAGCTGGCAGCTGGCACGTGGTAGGTGTTTAATATATGCTTGTTGATTGATTTATAAAGTGGCGGTGAAAAAGTAACTGCCTCGAAACTGAAATTTCCTTATCACCAAATAATGCCACCTAAATTTTTATTATTTATTTAAAATATTTATTTAAATTATTTTGTCTTTATTAGACTTGAGATCAAGGGTTGTGTTTTGGCTTTGTCATACCAGCGCTTACCCCAGCGCTTGGCATGTTGTACTAGATTAATGAATAATTGACTTTGCATTGGCTCTTTAGAGCTGTACTTGCAGTCAGGAAACCAAGGTTCCAATTTCTAGTCTGATAATTACTAGCTGTGTCACCCTGGGCAAGTCACAGGCATGTGGTCTACTACCAGACCCAGGTACTCTTATCCCTCCTTTTCAGCAACCTTTTGTGTGCTGTTTACTTTCATTAGAATGTAATCTCCTTGAGGGCAGGTACTGTCATTCTTCCCACTTCTATGGCTTCTTAGTTTGGTAAGTTAAAAAAAAAACCCTAAATGTGTTATGGATACTAGTATTCCACTGACCCCTTCCCTCAATAAAATTCCATCGCCTTACATTTTAAGAGGGGAAAACATTTTAATAAGAACCTGAAAAAAAAAAAGGAATAGACTGAATTACAGGGTTGCAAATTTAGACCTTGAAAGGCCCTTAGAAGTCAAATGGCAGGGGCAGCTAGGGGGTGCAGTGGATAGAGCACCGGCCCTGAAGTCAGAAGGACCTGAGTTCGAATTGGACCTCAGATATATAACACAGCGCCCTTACTAGCTGTGTGACTTGGAGCAAGTCACTTAACCCCAATTGCCTTACAAAAAAAATAATAATATGGGGAAAAGCATGTTCACCCTGGAGTCAGAGGCTCTGGGGTTAAAATCCTTCCTTTAACAATTAATGTTGGTATAACTTCAGGCAAGGCTTTTAATATCCCTGGTCCTCTGTTTCCTCATCTGTAAAAGGAGGGGATTGGCCTTGGAAGCTCGACTTCCTTCTAGCTCTAAACCTCTGATCCTATCGTCTCATCTTCTAGGATCATTAGATTCTAACCTCAGCAGCCTTTCTAATATAATGAGGCATTTTCCAATCATGCAAGATTTGATCAGATAGCCCACAGGCCCTTGCTTATTTTTTTTTAAAGCTAAAATGCATACTGTACAAGGTTCCACTGTACATTAGACATTCTCTTTCACTGTTGCTTACACAGTGAGCAAGTGCACCCGCCCCTTGGCTGAAGTTTACAGGTCTCCCATGGAGAAGGGGGTCAGGCCAGCTCTTTTTTAAAAAAATCAGTAATTGCTACTCAATTCTTTGTTCCATTTACTGGGATCAGCTAAGGCCAAGCAGTTAATGATCATTATTTTTGCTTATGATATTTTTCACATTCCAATACCATCCATGGCAGCAGAGAAAGCTATTTCTTGGGCCCTCACTCACCCCCTCTCAACAACAGGGAAGACTATGAAATGCTGATAGTCTGAACATTATCGTATTCTCTTACAGATCAACAGTGGGATCACTTCTGGCAGCTGAGGTACTGTTCTGTTATGTGTCCTCATAGGTGCATGGGCCTGCTCAATTATCTTTTTCTCTCAGGAACCTGCAGTTCCCTCTATTATTTTTTAACCATGCCTATCATTTCATTGGTGTTCATAGCTCCTGCTGAGTAATTGCCTCGTACAAATGCAAACTGGTTTGTTTGTTTTGTTTTTTGGTGAGGCAATTGGTGTTAAGTGACTTGCGTAGGGTCACACAGCTAGTAAGTATCAAGTGTCTGAGGCTGGATTTGAACTCAGGTCCTCCTGACCCCAAGGCTGGAGTTCTATCCACTGCACTGCCTAGCTGTCCCTCCAACTTTTCAATGTAGAGATTTCAAAGGTTGACTGGCCCACTCACTAGGAGGTTGTATGACTTGCCAGAATGTCTCAGAAATGAGACTTAGGGGGCAGCTAGATGGTGCAGTGGATAGAGCACTGGCCCTAAAGTCAGGAGGACCTGAGTTCAAATCCAGCCTCAAACCAAACACTTGATACTTACTAGCTGTGTGAGCCTGGGCAAGTCACTTAATCCCAATTGCCTAAAAATAAAAAAAAAAAGTGAGACTTAAACCCAGACCTCTCAGAGTCTGAGAATAGCATGGCATCCTCTTTGCTACACTTCTCCTTATCCTATTGTTCCCTTTGTATCAGGGGTTCTTAACTTGGGGTCTGTGAACTTGGTTTTTAAAAAAATATTTTGATAACTAGTTTCCTTTACAATCCTATATATCAATCCTATATATTTTATCTTACATATTTAAAAATATTCTGAGAAGGGAGCCTTGGGCTTCACCAACAGGATCTATGACACAGAAAAGGTTAAGAATTTCTGCTCTTTGTGTGACCCTGGGCAAGTCATTTAACACCGATTGCCTCACCAGAAACAGAAAAAAAAAATTCCTGCTCTTACTGTGCATAAAATGCAACTACTTATTTATTTCATTTTCTGTCTCGGTGTTTAAAATAACGATGCATGAAGGAACAAAATGGTGCCTACAAATGGAAAGCACCATTTGAAATGAGTCTTTCCTCCTGTACGTAATGCACATCAAGTTTTGGCATGGGTTTATTGCTATGTGAGACAGAAGCAGTGAGGTGGCACAATGACTAGAGTGTAGGACTTGGCATGTGAAAGACCGAAGTTCAAATCCTGCTTCAGACATTGACTAGCTTTATGAGTCTGGGCAAGTCACTTAACCTCTGTCAGCTTCAGTTTCCTCATCTGTAAAATGGGGATAATATTGGCACCTTTGTGAGGATCAAATGATATATATGGTAAAGTGCTTTATTTGGCTTAAATGCTAGCTATTAGAATGGGGAGAAATTCCCATCACTTTTCTTGACCAGGCAGTGTTGATAACCACTTGATGACTATAATTTGAACTGTTCAACCTCCCACATGTGATATTTTGGGTTGTTTTTTTTTTTAAGCTGGGGTGGAAATTCTATGATGCAGATGACTACCATCCTGAAGAAAATCGAAAAAAGATGGGAAAAGGAATACCACTAAATGATCAGGTAATTTAATGCTACAATAAGATATATAAGAAAGAACCCTGGACCTGAAGTTGGAGAGAAGACCTGAGTTTGGCTCTACCACTTAATTCTTAGGAGCTCAGTTTTGTCTTTTTGCAAGGAGGGAAGGGGAAAAGGGAAAGGGAGAAAGAAAGAAAGAAAGAAAGAAAAAGAAAGAAAGAAAGAAAGAAAGAAAGAAAGAGAGATGTCCAGGCCTGTAATTCCATTGGTATAGGGAGTTCCTACACCACGTACAACTTATAGTCTTATGAGAAGTGAAATCCCTTATCCTTGGTCAGGCATAGCCAATATGTGTCAGAGGCAACACTTGAACCCAGATCTTCCTGGTGCCAAGGGTCACCCTTTATGCTGTATGCCATACTTCCTTTTCAATCAGAATAATACTTGAGCTACCTACCTCTCAGGATTCTAGTGAAGATCAAATAAAAATAAGTCTAAAGGCCTTCCTTCTCTTAGCATTGAGATCAGGAGGGTGTATGCTAGGATGGTTAATATGCTTATCTTACCTTTGCCCCAGTCATGAGAAGAAGAGTCAGGCTCCAGGACAGGGCAGATATCAAAGATCACTTGGAAGCCAGAGGGCTAGGGCAAGGGAACATTTGTAAAGTGTGTAAAAGGGACTAGAATCAAGTGGATACAAATACAACTATTGTCACTTTCTTCAGGCTTGACCCACGCTCACCCCACCCCCCAATTTGATTTCAAGCCAAGTTATTGCATTTTCTTGGCTATTCTCCATTGTCAGTGTTTTTATTTTATGTGGCCCTGAACCAACAATATTAGGTCTCTCTGTTAGGAATTACAAGAAATTACATCTTAAGACTGCACTTTCTGTACTGCAAGGAATCTAGCCAGGGATATGATGGTCAATGTTTAACAATCAGCTCTTGGAGAGGGGATGTATACATGATAACTTTTAAGTTTAATTGCATTATTAACATTTTCCCCATTACTTTCTTAAGTTTCAACAACAAACAGAACAATAAATCAAGTCCTCGTTTGTAGTGTTTGCTAGTTTCCGAGGTATAAATGCTTACTCTGAAAATTTAATCATCAGCTTTCACAACCATTTCAAGCTGGCTTCCACATTCCCATGGATACAGTTTTTGTCTTTCACAGTCTGAATCTTTGACATTCAAGACTGGATTCACAATATTTGACGTTAAGAAAGATAATTAGGATAATGGAGCTCCTCTTTAGATATGAATATGTGTTGCAAATCACGACAAACAGAATATGGGTGATTGTGTTAATAATTTGAATGTATAGAAGCAGAATCTGGGGCTGCCCCTTTTAGCTCACTTGGTTAGAGTACAATTCAGATGAGGCTAGAGTCTCAAGTAATCAGGCAACCAACAAGCATTATTATCTACTATAGATGAACAGATTTAATGAATTCATTACAGAATCACAGAACTATTCAGCCCCTGACATAAAGGGGATGGGCATGGAGTAGTGAGAGAACACTGACCTTAGGATCAGAAGATCTAGGCTCAAGACCCAATTTCATTGCTTACTAGCCATGTGACCCTGAGCAAGTTACTTAGCATCCTTGAAACCTCAGATTACTTATCTGTATAATAGAAATACTTGCACTACAGGGTTATATAACTGTGGGGATGGGAAGTACTTTATAAACTATAATGTGCTATATACACATTTTTTTTCCCTTAACACCAATGATTTCATTGGTGTACAAAGCTTTTAGTGAGGAATTTCCTCTACCAGTGTAGATTGGCATCTTTTCTGCAATTTAAAGAGTTACCTAGAACACAGAGAGGTCAAGTGACTACTCAGGGTGGCAGAGCCAGTATAAGGCAGAAGTAGAAATTGAATCCGGAGGCTTCCTGACTCTGAAGCCACCTTTCTGTCCACCGTGTTCCCCTGCCTCTCATGCTATGATTATCTACTAGATTTTGGTATGATTCCTTGAGAGTAGGGACCATGTCTCAATCATCTTTGAATCTCTCCTAGTGCATCACACATGCTTTGCACATAGCAGATTGTTGATTGGTAGATTGATAGCAAGGAGAATATGGTTGCATCAGCATAAATCCATCATGACCACTAAGAAGAACAACTCTAATCCCTGCTGCTGATGTACTAGTAGTGTTAGCATTCTAAGCAAAAGAGAATATTAGATTTTCTCTTTATAGTAGAATAGGAGAGCTAAAGCAGGTACAGAAAACCAACTTACTAAATCATGTTAATATTTTTCCAGCCCACCCTTTTCCTAAACTTTCCAATTCACACAACAGAATAAATTAGATTTTTACTATGACATCTACAGCAGCTAGGTTGAATAATGGCTAGACCACCAGGCCTGGAGTCAGGAAGACTCCTCTTCCTGAGTTAAAATCTGGCCTTAGACTTTTACTAGCTGTGTGACCCTGGGCAAGTCACTTAACTCTGCCTCAATTTCCTCATCTATAAAATGAGCTGGAGAAGGAAATGGCAAACCACTCCAATATCTTTGCTAAGCAAACCACAAAAGGGGTCATGAAGAGTCAGACACTATTGAAAAATGACTAAACAACAACGAGAAATGAGACCCACAGTAGCTATGTGGAAGCCTCACCTAACCCCAGAATGTAATGAGGTGGCTTTGATGCTATTTCAGTTCAACAGTTCAAAAAATATAGAGAACCAAGACATTGTGTTGGGATGAAAACATAACTAAGAAATAGTGTTTGTCCTGTTCAAGCTTACGATCTAGTAGGCAATTGGGTGACACAGTGGATAGAGCATGAAATTTGGAGTAAGGAAGACCTGAAGTTGAAACCTGCTTCAGATATTTACTAATTAGGAAGACCTCCATGTTGGATGGAGGCACTATGGAAAATTTTTAGAAAAACATGACCAAGAGTTGTATAGGATGAGAAGGCATGGATGAGTAGTAATCTGTACCATTGGAGGGAATAGCTACATTGATGATATCAGAGAGTCAAGGAAGATGTAAATGGTCCCTTCTTATTAAATTTATCATGTTAGTTACTGAAATTTTTTTAGCTAAAGACCAATCGTGATTCCAGAGAATCAGTGATGAAGCGTCCTACCCACCTTCTGATGGAGAGGGAGGGAATCATATTGCAGAATGAGACATACATTTTCAGGACTGGCCAATATGGGAATTTATTTCACTTGACTGTGCCTATTGGTTATAAGGATTTTTTCCTTTTTTTTCTTTTCACAGTTTTTCTCTTTTCTTTCTTTCTTTTTTTTTTTTTGGAGGGAGAGGAGTAGGGATCAGGAGGAAATATGGGGATAGCATTGCCAAAGAAAGGAAAAAAGAAAAAGAAGAGTCATCAAAACACATGTTCAAATGCATAGTAAAGAACAGAAGGAAAGCCAGAGGAATCACACTAACAGGAAAGCTTTGAAAATGAAATGTTGAATTTATTAAATATTTTAAAAGAAAAGCAGGCTGTACATAAGAGACCCACAATTTCATGTACAATCTTCTCTTTCTGTTCTAACATATATATTTTATAGAATTTTTTTTAATGGAGAGGAAAAAGCCTCAATGTAGTTCGTGTAGCAAAATAATAAAATAGAATTAAGAAATTTTTTGAAAGATAGAAAGGAAATTACCACTGTGGCACATGTCTAAAATTTAGAAACTTTTATGAAATGAGAGTTATTGACATTTGAAGCCAGGTACCTATAGTCACATCCTGATTTGAAAAGGGGTGTGTGTGCAATGTTTATCAATTGGAGAATGGATGAATAAATTATCTTATATGAATGTAATGAAATAGCATTGTGATATCAGAAATGATGAAAGGTATGGTTTCAGAGAAACCTAGGCAGACTTATATGAACCGATGCAGATTAAAGGGTGCAGAACCAGGAGGACAATTTATACAATAATAATAGCATTGTTAAGACAAACAACTTCGAAAGGACTAAGAACTCTTATCAATGCAATGACCAGCCATGAATCCAAAGGACCAATGATAGGGTACCTCCTCACAGAGAGGTAGTAGGAGCAGCTGGGTAGCACAGTGGATAGAGTACAGGCCCTGAAGTCAGGGGGACCTGAGTTCAAATCAGGCCCCAGACACTTGATACTTACTAGCTGTGTGCCCTGAACTAGTCATTTAACCCTATTGCCTAGCAAAAAAAAAAAAAATCCAAAAAAATAAACACAAAGGGGTAGTAGACTCATGGTGCAGAATGAGACATTTTTTTTGACACGGCCAATGTGCAAATTCATTTTGCTTAACTATACATACGTAAGGGTTTTGCTTTTGTTTTTTCAATCAAGGGAGGCAGAAGGAAAATAAAATAATGCTTATTAATTTTTAAAAGTATCAGAAGTAGTGCTTAAACCTAGGTCTTCCTAATTGTAAGGTCAGCTTTCTAATAACAATAGGTAGCATTGATATAGCCCTTTTATGTTTGCAAGGTGATTTACAAATATCTCATTTTAGCTTCACAACAGCCCTGGACTCCAGGGCCAGGGATCTACCTTCTCCTGGAGCTACTCTGATATCTATTAGCCATCCCCTGCTGCTTCTCTGTTCCCTTAGTATGAGGCATTAGAATATGTTATTATGTAACACTGAAAGCATCACTGTTTTTTTACTCTGCCGGTTACAGATTCTTGTCTCTCTCCCTGCCCCACCAGCTCCAGGAACTTCTGTGTAATAGCCTCCAAAGGCTTCTCTCTTGCCGCCTTTCATATGGATATAGAGAGATACCAAATCAATTATAATCCATTAAATACTGATGTGGTATTATCTATGTGACTCTTTGTCATTCGGTAAATTTGCCTCCCCAAAAGGGTCATGGAATGTGCAATATTTGCATGAAGAAAATGTGTAGTATTCCAAGATATGTTGGATCTCAGGTAGTAGCTGACCTATATAGGTAAACATAGGTATGTGGTTTTTAAATGGGGCCACTCGTAAGTGGGCCAATGTCCTTCAAGTAAAGCTTCTTAATGACTAATTAGCTGTGAGTTGGTTACTCACTCATGTTCCCAGTTCTCCAGAATTAAAGGGGAGCTCTGAGACATAATTAGGCTTTGTTAGGAGCTTTGAGATCATCTTATGAAATCTACACTATGAAATCAAACTGTAATAAGAGACATTATTGTTTGTTTGATTTGCTTTCAGGATAGGATTCCATGGCTTTGCAACTTACATGATATTTTACTGAGGTAAGAAAATAGTTGGCCAATGATGTATGCCCACTGTAAAGCATAGGTATAAAAACCATATTAAAAGATTAAGTAATCAGTAACAAAATATCCCACTGATCAGCCATTCACAAAATTTTTGGTGACACCAAAGAACTTTTGCTGATGAGGTTATATAAATAACATCTTTGTATTATTATGACAATAGTTTTGACCTCATAGGTTCACAGAAAGGGTCTCAAGTACCTCCAGGAGTCTTTATACCATACTTTGAGAACCACTATTCACAACTACCCTGAGAAAGGGTGCTATTATTATCCTATTTTCCAGAAGAGGAAACTGAAGCAGACAGAGTTCAAGTGACTTGCTCAGGGTCACACACCTGCTAAGTGTCTGAGGCTGGATTTGAACGCAAGTCTTCCTGACTTGAAGCCCAGCATTTCATCCACTGTGCCGCCTTACTGCTTATATGACTATAAACCAGTAACCCTGGTTTTAGGTACTGCTTGTAGGAATCAGCATCTTGTTCACTAATACTTCTTTCTGTTCCCAACTCAAATAAAAAACAAAACATATTTGATACAGATGTTTAGACATGATACATTATAGCACATGGAGGATGCTTATCTATGTGAGGATTGGTAGGAGGGACTAAGGATGTTTAGCCTGAAAAAAAGATATGGGAATATGGAATATGGGGCTACATGAAAAAAGCCTTCGAGTGCCTGAAGGAGTATTATATGGAAGTATTATAGGATATGGAAGAATTAAATTTGTTTTTCATTGCTCTAGAGAGCGGAACTAGAAACAAATGAGAACTTGCCAAGAGGCAGGTTTTGGCCTGATAGAAAGCCAAATTTCCCAACAGTACTGTTCAGAAAGTGCCATGGACCACTTTGGGAGCTAAGTGACTTTTCCTATTGAAAGCCTTTAACCTCCAATTGATAAATGGTCAAAGGATAAGAATAGGCAGTTTTCAAAGGAAGAAAATTAAAGCTATATAGTCATATGAAAAAATACTGTAAATCACTATTGATTAGAGAAATGCAAATCAAAACAACTCTGAGGTACCACATCACACCTACCAGATTGGCTAACATGACAAAACAGAACAATGATAAATGCTGAAGAAGATGTGGGAAAATTGGGACACTAATGCATTGTTGGTGGAGTTGTGAAATGATCCAACCATTCTGGAGAGCAATTTGTAACTATGCCCAAAGGGCTATAAAACTGTGCATACCCTTTAAACTCAGAAATACCACTTCTAGGGCTGTATCCCAAAGAGATCACACAAGTGGGAAAAGGACCCACATGTACAAAATTATTTATAGCAGTTCTTTTTGTGGTGGTAAAGAATTGGAAATTGAGGGGATGCCCATCCATTGGGGAATGGCTGAACAAGTTGTGGTATATGAATGTAATGGAATACTATTATGCTATAACAAATGATGAGCAAGCAGACTTTAGAAAAACCTGGAAAGACTTACATGAACTGATGCTGAGTGAAATGTGCAGAACCGGGAGAACACTGTACAGCCACATGGTGCAACGTCTGACTTTGACAGACTTAACTCTTCTCAGCAATGCAAGGATCTAAGACAATTCCAAAAGACTCGTGCTGGAAAATGCTATCCACATCCTCCCATTCCTCCCATTAGTTTTAATTCTTCTTTACATCATGACTAATGTGAAAATATGCTTAATATGAATGTATAAGTAGAGCCTATATCAGATCGCAAGTTGTCTTGGGGAGGGAGGAGGAGAGTGAGGGGGAGAAAATTTAAAACTCAAAATCTTATGGAAGTGAATGTTGAAAACTAAAAATAAATTAATTATTTAAAAAGAAAAAAAAGCCTTTAAGCAAAAACTTGTTTATAACAACCACTTGTTTGTAAAGGGGGTTTTTGTTTGGGTGTTTTACTAGATGACTCTAGAAATGTTGGTCAGGCTACGCAAGGAAGTACTTATTTTTATTAACATGAGTGGGGTATTATATGTGCCTAATTACCATGCAGTATAACTACTGTGCTGATCTTTAAGTCTGTGCCAGATCAACTTTGTTATAACTTTTATTCAGTTACAACACAGAACAGTACCTGCACGGGTTTTTTCAAACAGCCTGCTGGTCTTTAGATCAGAGCAGAAATGTCACCAGTGATTTCAGTGGTATGGGGTACTTCCTCTACCAATGCAGCTTAGTATCTCCTTTTCAGCTTATATGGTCTTGGAGAATTGCCTCAAAGGCTAAATGACATGCCCAGGCTTCCACAGTGCCATGCTGCCTCTTCTTTCTGCTTCCAACTTTGAAAAAAATCAAAGGGTACATTGCTTATTACCCTCTCTTTAACAAAATTCCAAGCATATAGTTTGCCTCTGAAAATAGCTATGCCTCTGAAATAGCTAGGTGGCAAAGTGGACCAGAGTTCTGGACTTAGGAGTCAGGAAGATAGTGCAAATTCAGCTTCAGACACTTCAAAGCTGTGTAGCCCTGGTAAATTTCTTAATCTGTCTGCCTCATTTTCCTCAACTGCAAAATGGGGATGAGCTAGAAGTCAGCAATTATATTCCTCTGATGAGGCAGAAGACCACCAGACTTCCATTTGCCCTGCTAGTACACCCCAAGGTATTCCCACTTCCCCCTCCAATGCCTGACCCCTGGAGCTGCCTTCTAACCAAATGATGTAGCCTTTTGATCCCTGGGCATTGCAAATTGTGCTAGCATTGCACCCTTCGATTTTCCAGGCCTTTCCATCCACCTGACAGCTAAACTTTGTTTTATATGTGTTGTTTCCTCCAATTAGAATGTGATGTCCTTGAAAGCAGGAACTGTATCACTTTTGTTTGTTTGAAGCCCCAATACTTATCAGTGTTTGGCACATAGTAAATTTCTAATCACATAACCCGGATTGCCTCAAAAAAATAAAAAGATACCAGTCAAAAGGTTAAGTAACTAGGTAACTCATCAGGACTAGAAGTCAGAGTGGGTACATCATCTACATTAGTTGAAGAAGTTCCCCAAACTGATGAACTCATGGGTTCAAACAACAACAACAGAAATTCGGAGGTTAAGTCTCTCTTTTCTCCTTCCTTCTGCTGCCCACCTCTGACACATCATTACCATAAAACAGGATAAGGAAGAGAGAAACTGAGAGATTAAAATCAAATAAACATTGCTGGTCATGAATAGTTTGGTAGAAGGCGGTCACTGCAAAATCAGTTAGATTTTTGTATTCCCAGTGAACTCCATGAACAGACATTTGTAAGGAGGCTGTACATAAAATGCAGGGGTATCAATTCCTTGGTATATAGTGGGCAGAACCCTGGCCTTGGATTCTGGAAGACTCAAGTTCAAATCTGCTTCAAATACTTGCTGTGTGACCCTGGGCAAGTCACTTAACCTATCTATGCCTTAATTCCCTCATCTGTAAAATAGAGATGATAGCACCTTCCTCATAGAGTTTTTGTGAAGATCAAATGAAATGATAAACGCACAGTGATTTGCAACCCTTTAAACTCTATATAAAGGTTAGCTATTATTATTCTAAATCATGTCTTTGGATGTGGTTTCAATCCAGTGATAAGCAAATGAAATTAAGACATTCACATATTGCAGATCCTACTGACTTCTCCTGATGCCCCTTCCCACACACCTTATTTCATTTTATTTTATTTTTTAAATAGAAAGGTGTCCTCAGGTCAAAGTGTGGTCCTTGCCTGTTCTGCTTTGAAGAAAATGTACAGAAACATCTTAATGAGAGGAGAAGGTGCTGCAACTCAGAACTCAGAAGAGCCAGGAGAGAAAGAAGGGTTTCCAAAGCTGAAGCTCCTTGTGGTCTATTTGAACGGGTCTTTTGAAGTGATCTCTGGGCGTTTAGCCAAAAGAAAAGGACATTTTATGCCACCAGAGTTGCTACAGTCCCAGTTTGACACTCTGGAACCCCCATCAGCACCAGAAAATTTTCTGGCACTTAGTGTGGAAAGAAGTGTCTCAGAAATGATTCCTTTTATTGTGGACAATATGAAAATGAAATGAGAACCCTTTCAGACAAATCATCAGATCTGAATTAGACATAAATAATCATTATGTCAAATCTCCATTAAGACATTCCTACTTATAAAATACCTTAATTTTCTCCTCTGAATGTCAGTTCTACAATGTACTGGAAGTTGCTTATTATGCCTTGCAAAAAATATCAAAATTGTTTCCCAGAATACTTTCCCCTGACACCTGCTAATCAAATCCTCCCTTATGACAAAGAAGTGGGTGAAACCCAGCCAACAAAGTGACTACATCTAATGACATATGTCACATTGCATACCCATGGCTCTCCACCTCTCTACCAGAAAGGGGAAGGTATTTTTCCTTCTTTCTTCTCAAAGATCAAAATGGGTTTTACTGAGTTTGGCAGCACTTGTTTAGTGTTTGTTTTTAATTGGCATTATTGTAGTCATTGTGTATTTTGTTTTCTGGTTCTGTTCTCTTTACTCTAGATCAGTTCACACAAATCTTCCCATGTTTCTCCAAATTCCTCCTGTTCATTGTTTCTTATGGTACAATAATATGCCTTTAAATTCCTTTAACAGTTTATTCGTCTATTTTCCAACTGATAGGTAGCAACTGCATTTAAAGTTTTCTTCCTTCCATGAAGAATATTGCAGTGAATATTTTGCTATATATGGGATCTTTCTTACTGTCCCTGCTGTCCTTGGAGTATAAGCCTAATAGACAGATGGCTGGGTCAAAGGATATAAAGAGTTGAGTGATTTTTCTTTAATAATCTTGGAACAATTTACTGTCTTCGAATAGTTTATGGGATTTCCAATGACTTTAGAGCTATCCTCTGCTGCACTGGTAATGTTTATGTGGGATCTGAGGATAGTTTTGGGATTTTGATTCCATCCATGAGGACAGTGATTAAAGCTAAGAGCAAAGAACATAAATGGGGGGGATGCCCACTTTTAGGGAACAGGAAGTATAGAGGTATCAAGGAGGGAACACAAGTAGTGATCAAGTAAGATGGAGAACCAATAGAGAAGATTGTCACAGGAGCCAGAGGAAGAATGAATGAATGAATGGATAAATAAATGAATGAAAAAGCATTTATTTAGAGTTTACTGTGTGTCACGCACTAGGGATATAAATACAAAAGCAAAAAACTGCCTGTCCCCTAACTTACATTCTGTTAAGTCATTTTTCAGTTGTGTCCAACTCTCTGTGACCCTATTTGAGATTTTCTTGGCAAAGATACTGGAGTGGTTTGCCATTTCCTTCTCTGGTTCATTTTACAGATGAGGAAACTGAGGCAAACAGGATTAAGTGACTTGCCCAGGGTCATACAGGTAATAAGTATCTGAGGCCAGATTTGAACTCAGGAAGATGAGTCTTTCTGACTCCAGGCCTGGAGCTCTATCCACTGTGCCACATAGCTGCCCCAAGCTTACAGGGAAATTATATACATTGGGGAATGGTGGTGAAAGAGGCCATAAGGAAGATGTCAACAGTGTTAAAGACTGAAGAAAGGACAAGAGGATGAAGACTGACAAAAGGCTATTGAATTTGTTGATCGTGAGGAAGCAGTTTAGGCTGAAGTTGGTAATTGATGAGTGACTTTCGGCAAGTCATTCAACTTTCAGAGAGGCAGTGTGACTCAGTAGATAAGGTGCTAGAATCAGAATCAGAATCAGGAAGACCTGACTTAGAATCCCACTTTTCTGAGGTTTACTTAACAGCACAGCCCAGTGACTAAGTGAAGACTAAATATTTAGGGGGCAAAGAAGTACCAATATGATGGGGATCATAGGCTCCCATACATTTTGGATAAAACTAATTTCTGATTCTCAGAAGCAAAAAACCAGAAGGACACAATGGGAAAAGGCAATACACTTGAATGTGAGGACCTGGATTTGAATCCTACCTCTTCCACTTAACCTATTTGATTGGACAAATTACTTAGTTCCTTTGGGACTCAGTTTGCTCATTTGTAAAATTAGGGAGTTGAAGTAGCAGGTCTCGGAAGTCCCTCTTCCAGCTCAAAATCATTGATACTATGATGATCAGGATGACAAGGGGAAATGTTTCTTTTGAGTCAGAAAGGGGAAAACTCTAGGGAAAATGAAATGATAGATGGATAATAAAATTCCTCAAGGGCTGAAACAGTTTAATAACTATTATTTACTTACTAATTAGTTACAGCTGATGCTTAATTTTGAGGGAGAAAAATAACACCCATATCAATCAACCCACCAGCACCATCTGACCAGAAATGATAAGCAGGAACTTGTCATTTGCAAGTCATACCCAGAAGATCCGGTAGTACTAACAACCCACACCTCACTACACCACAAGGTGATGGGGTAACTGTGTTTCTGGGAAAATGGGAAGAGAGAGAGCAATCGAGTATTAAGCCAAGGCAAATATTTTTGTCCAAAAGCAATTGTGTGACAACTTCAAACTGAGCCTCAGATACTAGCTGTATGACCCTAAGCAAGTTACTTAGCCTGTTTCCCCAACTGTAAAATGGGGATAACAGCATCTACTTTGCAAGGTTGTTGTGAGGATCAAAGGAGATAATACTTGCAAAGCACTTAGCAGAATATTTATTGCTTGCCTACCCCCCCCAAAATAGAGACAGCCATGAGGTCAAGGAAAGAATATAGGGCTAGGCATCAAGAACCTGGGTCCCAGTCCCAGCTTTGCCTGGGGGGTGAGGGGTGGGGAAGAGACAATCAGGGTTATATGACTTGCCCAGGGTCAAACAGCTAGTAAGTGTCCAAGGCTAGATTTAAACTCAGATCCTTCTGACGCCAGGACTGGTGCTCTATCCACTGCATCACCCAACTGCCCCCCAGCTTTGTCTCTAACCAGCTTTGGTTATGACAGTCTTTGGATAAGTCACTGTACCTAATATTTTTCATCTATAAAATGAGGAGTGTGGACTAGATTATCTCTAAGCCCCTTTCACTTCTAGTATTCTGTGATTTAAGTAGATGTGATTTTTTTTAAAAGCAATTTCAAGATTTGGGGCACACTATCTCCTACTTCTCCCTCAAAGATGCAATGTATTGTCAAACCAGGGTCCTGAATTATTACTTAAAACCTGGGGTCTTGTTCCTATGGAAGTGTTTTGCATGACTTACACATGTATAACCTGTATCGAGTTGCTTGCCTTCCCAATGAGGGTGGGTGGGGAGGGAAGAAGAGAGAAAATTTGGAACCCAAAGTTTTAAAAACAAATGTTAAAAAAAAAATTGTTTTCACATGCAACTGGGAAGTAAGATATATAAGAAATGGGGTATAGCAATCTATCCTGCCCTAAAGGAAAACTGAAGAGGAAGGGGATAAGAGAAGCGGGGGAGAGACAGAAGAAAGGGCAAATTAGGGAAAGGGGTATTCTGAATGCATTCCATCTTGGGGTGGGGGGAGGGACGAGATGGGGAGAAAATTTGGAACTCAAAATCTTGTGGAAGTGAATGGTGAAAACTAAAAATAAATAAAACTTGGGATCTTGGGGCAGCTAGGTGGTGCAGTTGATAGAGCTCCAGCCTTAGGGTCAGGAGGACCTTAGAGTCAGAGTTCAAATCCGGCCTCAGACTCTTAATACTTACTAGGTGTGTGTGACCCTGGGCAAGTCACTTAACCCCCCAAAAACCCAACAAAAAACAAAAAAACTTGGGGTCTTTATCTTTGGGTTAACAAAGCCAGCTAATACCCCTTAGCTACTCCAGGTCCTTTTACAAGAGAATGAATATGTGAGCCTTGACCCCTACCTGCATATGCATCTGGGTAGTCTGGCAGCCACCCTAAAAATGGTTGTTGATTTCTTTGTCAAGTACCTCCTGCCTCCCCCAAACCCAACCCCATCAGCAGTAGCTTATTTTCAGCTCAGGAAACACAGGCACAAAAATACAATGGCTTAGGTAAGTTGGTCATTCAATCAATAATCATTTATTATGTGCCTACTATGCACCACTGTGATAAACACTGGTAATGCAAAGAAAAGTAAAAGTCCCTGCTCTCAAGGAGTTTACAGTCTGACTGGGGAGACAATATGCCAATAAATATGTACGATAGATAGACGATAGGTAGATAGATAAGCAATAGAAGGAATACTGGCATTAAGGAGGATCAGGAAAGGCTGCAATAATTCAGTGTCAATGAGAGACTAGAATTTAGGGTTTTCTGATGTGGAGTCAGAACACATCTATCTCCCAAAGTCACAAAGTAAAATCACTGTCACCATCATCATCATCAAATAGAACAAATAAAAAAGTAAAATCTCTCAGGAGACAGGATGAAGTATGAGCAGACTCTGCCCTCTGGTGGCCAAAATTTGTAGGTGGTTTATATTTAAAGATCTCTAAACGTTTTTCCTGACTTCGAGCCAAAACTTGCCCCTATGTAACTTCCATCCAATGCACCTAGTTCTGTCCAAACAAAGTAAGTCGAATCTCCCTTCAAATGCTTCACGACTAGCTTTCATGTTCCCCTCTAGACTTCCTTTTTAACCATCCCTCAAAGTCACTAAAGTTACAGTTTGATTTAGGCTTTTTTAGATATTCATACATAGCTTGAGGTAGGGACCCAACCTGCCCTGCCCACATTTTCTACCTAGTTTTGGGGTAGAAGATGGGAAACAGAAAAGAAGAGGGGGAAAAATAGGAGAAGAACTTAGGTTTAGGGTAGAGAGGGGGACAACTGAGAGAAATGTAAGGGTGAAGAAAAGATGTGGGGACAGTACTCAAAAACAGGGGAGAACAGAAACTTTCAGGAACCATCACCACTCTCCATTGACTCAAGCAGAATATGCCTACAAGGCCGGGCACTGGGGCACAGACCACAAATTAATGAAGATCAAAGGTACTGAGTGACCTTCCTGGAAGTGGGGAAGATCAGTCCCACCATTTCACCTTCATGAGAATGGGAAAATTTAACAGGTGTACATCTCTATTAATACTAGCTGACATCTTATTCCTCAGATGCTCCATTTGATCTTTTTTTGTTGCATGTTTTAAGTACTAATGCCAACACTAGTTATTCTTCAAATAAGAGCATCTAAGTGGTGGATGTGGATAAAGTGCCTGGAGTCAGGAGGACCTCAATTCAAATCTGGCCTCAGACACTTCCTGTGTGACCCTGGACAAGTCACTTAACCCTGTTTGCCTCAGTTCCTCCTCTGTAAAATGAGCTGGAGGAAATGGCAAACCACTCCAAAAGGAGTCATGGAGAGTTAGATACAATTGAAAGGACTCAACATTTCCCAATACAACGTCTCCATTGTAACAAAAGAACACAGATAAAATCAATGAAGCCATCTTATGAAACATTCTATGTTGTTCAGTTGTTTTTCAGTCATATCTGACTCTTTGTGACCCCATTTGGAGTTTTCTTGGCAGATACTAGAGGTGTGCCATTTTCTTCGCCAGATCATTTTACAGAAGAGGAAACTAAGGCAAACAGGGTTAACAGACTTGCCCGGGGTCATACAGCTAGTAAGTGTCTAAGGCCAGATTTGAACTCAGGAAGACAAGTATTCCTAACTCCAGGCCCAGCACTCTATCCACTATACCACCTAGCTGCCCAATATCTAATTACATATGATTAAACAGTTGGAAAGATAGACCGAAGCCAAATTGTGAAGGCTTTAAATGCCAAATAAATCAACCAGTAAGTATTAATTTTCTTACTACGAGCCAGGCCCTGTGCTAGCTGCTGAGCATACAGATAAAAGTGGAACGGTGCCTGGCCTCAAAGAGCTTACATTCTAGTAGGAGAGACAAAACGTATACAGAGAGGGAGGGGAAGAGAAAGGAAAGAGGGAAAGAGGAACGCGGGGAAGACACACAACAAAACAAAGTAACCTTGGGTGCAAAGGCGCTCATAGATGGATAGACCATTCTCTAAAGGCCTCCAACAAAAGGTGGCACTTGAGTTGTTTTGGGAAGAGCATCATGTATAACTAACAGCAGGCAGGCTAGGATGGTTGAACTACAGGGTAGAGGGAGAGGAAGGTAAATGCGGTCAGGTTGTAAAGTTTTCAATACCAGAACTGATAACTGATCCTAGAGATAATAGTGCCACTGGAGTTCTATGGAGTAAATGA